GATTATCATGAATAACTATAGGCCAACAAATTGTATAACCTAAAAGAAATGGATACATTTGTTAGCACATAAAACCCTCCAAAATGGAATCATGATAAATAGGAAATATAGACAATTAATTAAAAAGGAAATTGAATCAAAAGCAAAAAGTCTGTCAGTAAACATCAAAATTTGAATGCCTTCTCTGCTAATTTCCACCAAATGTTAAAAGAAGAATGAATATCAGTTGTTCAGAATATTCCAAGGAATTAAAAAGAACAATATACTTGTAATACTAAAATACATGACAAACTCAATAGCTCCTTGATTAAAAGTCATCAGATGGCCTGAATGGATCACATACAAAGTTTGCAATATCATCATTCACTTTGGAAGTGCAAGTTACAATAGCAATGAGATATTGCCTCATTGTATTAGGACAGGCATTCCAAAAGACAATTTTTTAAAACAAAAGGACGTGAAGATGTAGCAAACAAGGGACCTTATATCAGGGTTAATAGAGATGTGAATTAGTAAAGTTACTATGGAAAAATAATGTGGGTATTCCTCCAAAATGAAAATGTAAACATGGAACTGCCATGTGGTCTGTGGTCACCAGTCCCAAAGGAAATAAAGTCAGTATATTGAAGAAATCTCTACCACCATGCCTATTACAGCTTCATTCACACTAGCCAAGATGTCAAATCATTCCAAATGTCCATCAACAGATAAATTCATAAATGAATAAAATGTGGTGTGCATAATGGAATACAAGTCAAGTATAAACACTTGGGAAGTCATTTGTAACATGGTTGAGCTTGGAAGATTTTGTTATATGACTCATGTGTGGAATCTAAAGGTTGACTTCACCAAAGCAGAGAATTAGAATGATTGCCAGGGACCTGGGTGGTTAGGAAGAGGGTCTCAAGGAGATATTGTTCAAATGATTCAAAATTTTGGTTAACTAGGTAATCCCATAAATCTACGTGTACAACATGAATACCAAGACATTGTGATCTTGAGAATTGCTAAGTTGATGCTAAATACTCACACCCCCCAAGTGGTGACTATATTTGGTAAGGTACATGTTAATTACCTAGCTAGAGTCACACAAAGTATAATATAAATGCACTTTAGAGCGTCATGCTGAACTTGAAAATGCATATAATTTTATCTGTTCAAAGTAGTTTCAATTTTGTGAATAATGCATCAAGAAATATAATACACAAAAATGATCACCATGTTTCCATATGGTTTACATATTTGCATTTGAGTTTGTATATGAAAGGTGACTTGTCATGAATAGTCATGAGCTGCCCTCATGACTTATAAAGTGTGCTTACTACTGAGTGAAAGGTCATGAGTCACTTAGGATTGTGGCTACATAGCCGGGAGATGAAAATGCACTAATGGAATTTACCTACAGTTCATTCTTGCCAGAGCTAGTTTGGCTTTCACCACTTCTCACTAGAGGACACTCTGATTTACCATGATTGATGTGTGTTTTGTTAGCCAACAAGTATAGAAGTCTAAATAAGTAGGACAGCCAAAACTGAACACATGGGAACTCCCAAGTGCCCCAGCTGCTCTTTGTATAGATGATGGATCGAGGCAGGGTGGTCCAGCAGAAGCACACATAGAGGGGCCAAGGCACTGCCAAAGCCAGAGCCATAAATCTTCCATTATGAGCAAGATGGCATCAACTGTGGGTTACAAACTTGGCAGAAACCAGAGCCATCCTTTCCCTCCACAGCCCTGCATCTCCCAAGCAGACTCATCACCCCTACAAAAATAAAAGACACAGTGAGCAGAGAAATAGTAAAACACGTGTGTGGTTAGGAAGATGACTGTCATAAAGCCCATCCATTGTGTAAGGAACTGGATTGTTCATCAGCAACTTGATACCCATCAGTGTTACAGAAAGCCAGGTGTATGTCACTCCATTTTGACTATGAAGTGACCCCTTGATGCCTTCTTCTCTCCATCTTCCTTCTTTTAGTACTTACGCACTTAGTATATTCCAGGCATTGCCAGTATCTGGATATAAGTATTCAATTCATGTTTTCTTTTTAATAATTTTTATTGAGCATACAAAATAATTGGATTCATTACAAATATATAGATTAAAATACACCCTTGTCACATTTTTCTCTTTTATATTACAAACCTCCTTTGTGATTCGATTGTTGGTAGCAATATTATTTTTGTATCAGTTTCACATTCTTAAATTTTTCCTTTTATTTAGTGATGTATGTGTGTGTGAGCACACATGCACATGCCACAATACATGCATGAAAAATTCAGAAGCCAATTGTGAGAATTAGTTCCTTCCTTCTGTAATGTAGGTCCCTGGGACTGAACTCAGGTCATCAGGCTTGAGGGATACAACTAGTGATAATTATTTTAAGCAAAATAGGCCAGACTCAGAAGGACATAGCTCATGTTTTATTCTCATTTGTGGGTCTAATATTATGCACACATACATATATAATATATTTCATTTATATATTAATGAGAAACATGTTGTAGACATAAGAATTGGCAGAGTCTCTTAGCTAGGAGTTACATTTTGCACTAAGGATAAAGATTGGTTGGCTCAAACCTGGATTTTCTAGAAGAGGGAAATCCTTTCCTCTTGAATGTGCCTCTCTAGTGATTTAGTTAAGTGCTTCATTGTAATAGTGTAATCATAGTAATGATAAATACAGTGGGGATGCTGTCTGTTATCAAACAAGAATAACAACCTTACTTGCTTCTGTGGTGCATACAAAGGTTCAAATAGTGTCCTAAACTATTTATATAAGCACATATGCATGTATACATATACAGTCTCTATCTATGCATTTATGTAATTGTAGTAGTGATGACTACAGTGGAGATGCTATCTATTACTAAACAATAACACCTCTTCTATGATGCATATAAATATTCAGTGTTCTAAACAATTTATTTACATATTCACATATATACATTTGCAGTATATATCTATACATAAATATTTACACACAGATAATTAAGTTAATAATTCTGCTATCTTGATTATACAAATAAAAGAAAAGAAAAAATTAAAGGTCAAATAGTATGCCAAAGGTTATAAGGGCCAGCTTTGAAACTACAAAAAACTGGCTTCAAAGTTCCACCTCTTAACCGCAACACTTGTGCAGACTAACAAACATTAATTTGTAACTAATACTGAAAACATCAATAGGCAAACAGGATAAGTGTAGAATTTTAAGTACTAAAAGACTCTTGTGATGTTACAGTATGAGATTTCTGGGGGTAATGAAAATAGAATCATGTACCACATTCTAGAACTACTTCAGACACATCTGTCCATAGGTGGCCAAGTCTCTGAGATGTGACCTCACCACTAAACAACAGAAGGAACAAACACATAAATGATCTTGGTCTTGAAATTTTAGATTTTAATTTCCACTATTCAAGTATATTCTTTGAAGTTATTTTTATGAAGACACTCTGTAATGACAAGGATATAAAGCATGGGGTGCTGCGGAGAGAGAGTGCTCAGTGGTTTAGAGTACTTGCTCTTGCAGAGTACCTGGATTTGATTACCAGCACTCACAGGGTGGCTCACAACCATGCCAAGCTCCAGTTCCAGGTGATCCAATGCCCTCTTCTGACCTCCACAGGCACCAGGCAAGCATGTGGCACACATACATATGCAGGTAAAACATTCATACACATAAGTAGATCAAAAAATAATATAAAACATGGGGATTCTTAAAACATTGATAAAATTTTCCCAAACTTGCAAGTTATATGAAGATCTTTAAAGCATGATCTTCTGGAGATTAATTGGAAACAGAATTATAAAAGTCACAACTCTATACAATATAATGGTTAGGGTAGGATTTGAGTCTAGTTGACCTAGACTCAGTGCCCGCATGTGCCACTTTTATGCCTTAGAGAACCTCCATGGCTCTCCAGGAAGGAAAGTGTATATATACCTAGGCTAGGGATCTCCTGGGCATATGAACCGGCTGAAGTGCCATATGCCTAGTATTAAATGGAAGGCAGCAATTGTTAACCTCTACTCTTTGTTGATGACTTCCATTTTCAGTTGTATGAGTGCCAGAATTTATTAAATTTTGAGAATGCTTATTCCATTTAAATATCAATCTACTGTGCTTGGTGCTAGCAGGATCATTTTTAAATATCAGTGTAGACACTGATATCAAACATCTTAAAATGTTTGTGTCCTAGTTAGGATTTGTATTGCTGTGAAGAGACACCATGACCATGGCAACACGTATAAAAGAAAACATTTAATTGAGATGCTTGCAATTCAAAGGTTTGGTCCATTATCATCATATCTCATTGAGACATGGCATCATACAGGCAGACATGGTGCTGGAGAAGGAACTGAAAGTTCTATACATTGATATGCCAACAATAGGAATTGAACTGAGACACTGGTCATAGCATGAACATAGCCCATCCCCACAGTGACACACTTGTTCCAACAAGCCACATCTCCTAATAGTGCCACTCTCTATGAGCTTCTGGGGTCCAAAATACTCAAACTACCATAGTAATACCATGTAGGGGTATAATGGTTTAAATAAAGGTTATTAGTTCAAGAAGTAAGAGAGGGATGTGGTAATAATGAAGTAACAATCAAACTAATTTGGTGTAGGAGAAAACCACCTCAGACAAAGATGATGAAATAAGTATTTATAATGCAAATAATAATGTATTATGAGATGTAAAAGTGTGCTTTCTTGGACCATTAGCTATCTGAATTATTCTTTATTGTTACAACTTCCAAAGTAAGTAAAAAATTTAATCCTGCCATAAGCTTTATTATAAACTCTACTACAAACTATTATATTTTATATGACTTATAGTTTAATATTTTCCCTGGGTTGTATCTTAAATAATCAAATATTGGTTTCTCCAACTCTTTTGAAGAATTAAATACAAGAAACTATCTAGCCCACCATCTCCCCAACTGACAAGCAATTCTCCTGCTTGACATTACTTTAACATTCCTTTTCCAGATTTTTATTGGTGAAATATCCATGTATTTCATAAAGTCAACAAGGGAATCCCTGATTGCTGAGGAGAAAACAATTCTAACAGGGGAATGCTGTTATCTGAATCCCTTACTTCGAAGGATCATCAGATTCATAGGTAAGTACCACAGCCTGGTGAACCGAGCTTTGATGGATGGGTAAAGCATACTAAATTTGGTGGATATGTTTGATCAAATAAGCTAAGATAAAACAGTACCAGCATTAAAAGCAAGGGCTTCCTGGGGATTTTCCACAAATGGTAAAGATAAGCCTAATCCTGGTACCATGTCAAATATTTGATCCTTGAAGTAAGTAAGATGTTATTTATTAAGTTGTTATACAGAGTCTAATATTTGATCCTTGAAAGCAGGTGGTATTTATTAAATTATTGTACAGAAATGATTTAAACTAATTTCTCCCTGCCCAACATTTGTCTTGATGTTATCCCTGAACATAAGTTTTAACATTGATTACGTGTTGACATATATTAAAGGGTAAAGGTCGGGTAAAGGTTGGGGGACAAATGGGAACATTGATTAAATGAAATAGTCAAATTTCCTGGCAGAGTTTTCTGGCCTATAGATCTGTCAGGTTCTTGAAAACTAAATGCCTTTCCAAACTTGGAAAAGAAATGTTTACTTTAGTGTTCTTGATGAGGAATAATGAAGGTATGTATAATGTCCTTCTTAAAAATGCCTAGAGTGCTACAGATGATGATTATAGTATGGAAATGTGTATATTGATGCAGACAGCAACACAAATCTTTCAGAATTCCTACATTATAAGTACTCAAGTCATTAAGTACACAGTGTAACAAGACCTTGCAAATGTCTGCTGACAAGATCTTCCTAGGAGCCCCAACAAAATTTCCAATTATGAACATGGCTGTTACTAAAACAATCTATGGTACTATTTAGAGAACAGAGAACCAGATACAGCATATCTCGTCTCTTTTAACAAATAATTAATACCTTTTTTCCTCTTATAGTAAAGGGTTCAAGTTATGAAGAAATGATCTTATCAAAGTCTAACAAGCAATGATCTCTCTGATTGATTGGGAATAAAAAAATGTACTAGAGCAGGAAGCCTAAGAAAATTTTATGTAAATGTAGAAAATTAAAAATTAACACTTAAATACTCTTAGGAAATTATGAATGTCTGCAAAACTAAAGTATTTGTAGACTGCAGAAGACTACAGTTGGCTCACATGAGTATAGCCTGATCCATATGATGTTACTGTCCAATTCAGCTGTTCCGAACAATGGTTCTTTTCAAACATGTCTAGAGTTAGACCAGTTCCCACCAGAGTGACTGGTTACCAAATCATGGGAAAAGATTAAATAAGAGAATATTTATCACACTGAATACTGAACTAGAGAATTTATTAAATTACTTCATTTAATCTGCCCAACATTATATAAAGTGTTTTATTGTTTGAAGTATACAGATGAAGACTCTAATAGAACACGGAATCGAGATATAGTTTGATTCAAGCTTGCATGGTCCCTTATCTGATCTAACTCCTATGAATGTAATTAACAAGTTATTCAATGAAAGGCATTAGCACATTCCAATTAACTGAAAACATCTTTAAGTCACTGTTATTATTCCTTGCAGAAAGAAGCCATATCTATTTGTGCCTCACCCTACCTGGGTCAAGGTCCAAAGAACAGAAAATTTAACTGGTGTTTGTCACTTATGTAGGACTCTGTGGCTTATATAAGTGCTTATGGAAAGATGCCAGGAGATCCCTAACTCCCAGGATAAGTCCTCCACATAGCATGCTGTGGCCCACGAAATTGTCACTTAAGACACAACACTAGGCTAAAGCATGGTTTCAAGATCAATGGAGGATCATCAGGCTTCTACTAATAAGTGATGACACATTTGTCCATTTGGATCTTGTATGCAAGGGGGATATGGTAAAGAAAATGTGGATATGACCCCTCCATAGTTTGGTTAAGGGAAAGGTTTTTTGTTGTAGATATGAGGAAGAGAACAGCTGGAGGCATCTAGGAAACTCCAGAGCAGAGAGAGAAATGGCCGGCAAATTGGACCCAGCCAAGGCCATCTATGAGAAAGGGGAGAATAGCTGACAGAGAATAAAGAAAGCATAGTGAGAATAGTGGGGTTATAAGGAGGGTGAATAGTTGCAGGAGGAAAGGACCGGGAGACTGGAATGGAGACTTTGAAATGTATAGCAAGTATTTGTGATACTGAGGGAGCTCTGAGGCCAGCATATCCTTTGATATGCAACCATGGGTATATGAAATTGGGGACCCATATGTCCCCTCTGTTACGATAAATCTTTCTGCCAAAAGCTGCCCGAGCCCCACCGCCACGTGTGAGCTTTAAACCAGTCAGCCATTCAAATGCTGCTTGGCCAATGACTAGTATTCTCATCTGTTAACTCATTCTTAGTTATCATAAATCTATGTATTTTGTAAGACTTATCTTATCGGACCCCTTATGGGCGTCCCTCCTTGCCGGTGGATCACATCCTGCCGCTGGAGAAGGAGCGGAGGGGAAAAGGGGGCCCTTCCTGTTTCTCCTTCGCTTAAATATGAGTCTCCTTGCTATGTCACTTCCTGCCTGGATCAGCAGTCCTCTACTACATTTCCCAGAATCCTCTTTGACTCCTAGTCCTGTCTAACTTCCGGTCTCATTGGCCAAACAGTATTTTATTTAACAATCAATAAGATAAACATACACAATACATTCCCCATCATCCCTCTGCCAAAGGTAAGGGAAATGATTCCTTTTGGCAGATGTGAAACAGGTTCACAAGTTCCTAATACATGCTGACTTTTATCTAACCACCAAAAATCCTCCCATAGTGCATGTTGAGATCATTTCTGATATTTTGACTGCCTTTTAGAGTTTGGGGAATTCGAGTTTCCTTCGGACCTAACAGGTTTATTGTAAGCTAATAGAGATCCGGATGCTAAAAACATAAAGCAGAGATGTTGAAATCCATCACCTTGAGTTCACCATCATAATATAGCCAGTGGGTAACATGCAAAGCTAGAGAAGCAACAAGTAAGAGGGGATGATTATAGGGTCACAAGAGGATTTGCTTCATATGTTCCTTATCTTAAGATACAAAGATCCACCCAGTTACTCAAGCAGAAAACCTAGGAGACTCTAACCATCTGGGAACTTGTTGGCAATGCAGATCTGTAGAACACACCCTGTACCTACTAAGTCAGAAATGCTAAGGATTTAGCCCAACAATCAGTGTCATGGATATGTAAATATGAGTAGTAATTAAAGAAAAAAATTGAAAACTACTGACTTAGGCCATTTAAATTCTCTTGCCCCTTTAAGTGATTTCCCCAGATGTTGCCTCTCAATTCACCCCCTTATTTCTATAAAAATAACGTCTATTGGTCATCTTGCAGCTACATGTGGACACTGGAGAAAGATGTAGGTTGTCCTGCCCTACGGCTCTCCACCTTACTCCCTTGTGACTGGGTTGCTCTGAACCTAGAGCTAGACTAACAGCCTGAAATCCCCAGTGAACCTGTCTCCACACACTACAGCACTGGGGTTACAGGCACATGCAGCCACACCCAGTTTTTAACTGGGTGCTGAGGAGTCCCATTCAATGTAATGTAATGCTCATGCTTACATTACATGCACTCTTACTCATTGAGCCATTACTCCAAACCATTTCCTGTGTTCTTTGCATAAATGTAGGGCTTGGGAGATCTTTTTAAATTTTGTTTGTTTTGGTAAATGAAGAGCAAAGATAAAACTTGTTAAATAATAAATTTTCCTAAAACTAACTTCACTAAGGCTGATTCTTACATCTTCATTTGTCTCCAACTTGGTTCAAGAATTTTAATGTACACACATAAGGCTATTTGGAAGAGATCCCTTGAAAAGTCCAGTCTGATTTCTCATATAGCAGTATTAGACAGAGGAGAGGGCAGTAGTCTATTTATCCAGGAAAAGTTAATTTCTGAATATCTAGATTATTTTCTTTATAAAAAGGAGAAAATGTATTCATTGAAATAAAAACCTTTTAAATGGAAATATTTCCTTTGACAAAAATTAAAGTAAAATAAGGTAGTTACCAAACTCTATTAGAAACATTACTGTAAGAAGCTTAATAGTCTTTTTTCTAATCCAGTAGTCACCAAAATACATACTTTGCAATTGGCATTGGGGAATGACAACTGTTTTAAATGACTGTTCTAATTAAGCCTAAATGGCATGATTTCCCCTTGCAGTTTATGTAATTGTTTTCAGCGTAACTATAAATAGTATTTCCTAGCAAATACAATCAGCTTTGTGCAAGCATAAAAAAAGCCACTAGATTAACAAATTATTTTAAGGAAATATACTTCATACTAGGAGGATCAGAAAAAGCAGTGTTCTGGCAGGAGTAGGCGCATATGTCCTTCCTGCATTACAATCGTATAGTGTATTCAAAAGCCATAAAAATAAATGTCCTTTTAAACCCCATATTCCATGTCGAATCAGGTTTTTAACAAGCAGAAATGTACACTAATTTTATGGACTAAATTACTTTCCATAATATAAATTAAAATAGCAAAGCAATAACAATGGGACTGGAAAAAATGGTTCCATAACTAAGAGCACTATTGTTCATGCAAAGAACCCAAGTTCATTCCCCAGTACATCAATCAGGTGGCTCACAACAGCCTCTAACTCCAGTTCTAGGTGATCCAACACCTTTGGCTTCCACAAGCATTTTCACTTACATTCACACACCCACACACATACACATAATTAAAAATAAATCTTTTTTTAAATACAGTAATGCAAAAGAAAATGCAATAATGCTGAAACTTCCATTATAATCTCAAAAATGGAAGAAACTATTCATGACATAATACCATGCAAAATATTAAAATAGTCTCTATTTCTAAGTATAGAAATGAATATACGCATGGTAAGGTGTAGCATGATAAATAAAAGACCCATAGGCAGTTAATGGGGTTCAAACTGCAAGCTGAAGATCAGAGAAGCAAAGCAGCCAAGCCATTGGATCTTACCTCTACCCAGCTGAAATGGCAATCTGTCTCCACAAATCCTCAGAGGCAAAGGCTCTGAATTCCTGCCTCCTCCTCCTTAGATACCTTTCTCTGC